TTGACACCCAGATCACACCCAGTGTAAGACATAAAGGGTACAAAGGAACAGGGAAAATATCTGAAAGCACCTTAGCAACATCAAACCCAATCTTTTGCATTTTCTCACAGGACCAAAGACGATGCATAAAGTCCCTCCTCCACATTACACTTCCAGCACAATGGGGAAGAGTTTACATCAATTTTACTTTTTAAAGCGGGTGTTATGTGCAATTTTTTACTGAATCTATTTAGCCCAGTTACAGGCAGATATCTTGGAGGCACAGACCCAAATCTTCTGCCAGTCTTAAACAGTTATAGAGTGGCCTAGGTGTCTTTCCCGAGCCTGTTTTACAGCCAGGAAGTAAGAACCGGAGTTAAGGACTTTATAAAATGAGCTAATGGACTTCCCAGACTGCAGGGAGGACAAAGCATCCACCACTGCAGACCTAGTAGGGTCCATCATTAGAGTAGTGTTATTAATTATAAAGTGCCTCAGTTGCAGATATCTAGAAAATTCCACATTCTGAAGGCCGAAACATCGTTGAAGCTGCTGAAAGGAGAGCAGAGTCCGGCCTCTAAACAAATCACCCAGGTTAACCAGGCCCAAGTTAGGCCAGACCACAAAACCCTGGTCCGGACATCCAGGCAAGAAGTAAGGACCGTTCATAACAGGAGCCAAGGAGGACGTCAAATGGGCCCAGTCCGCCAAAGCACAGATAGATCTCCAGGCCTTGACAGAGCACAGGTCAGGGGTCAGCAACCTTTATGATGATTAGTGCCTTCTAAAATTTCCTCAGAGGTCAATGTGCCATATGATTGCATTAGCAATAAATTTAATAATGCTCTATATCAACAGTTACACACCATATAGAACAACTTTATAGAATTACATTTGTTCACAGATGTTGGCATAGTGCAGAACAACTATTTTGAAACAAAAAACAAACACTTTTTATCCTAAACAAGAACTTGATAACAATAAATCAACTGTACAACAGAAAATGCAAATGCTACTTATGGTCTCCTCACAGCAATGATAGGAAACATAAACATGGCCAATATGGCATTTTTGTTAATACAGGGATACACATGTTAATGTGATCTCTGGTCTCCCACTCAGAGACACAAGTCTCCAAGTGTCCAGCATTCAGACGGCTACCTGAGGACTCATGTGAGAGAAAACCTGCTCACACAGACATGTAGAGCCAAATGCTGTCAATGAGGCCTTTGCCATGTTCTGAAGACAGTTAAACTTGTCAGGTAGTGACGTCCAGCAGGTGAAAATGCAGCTCCATGAACACGCACAGCTGTGGATTCCAGCTGCGTTCGTTGTTCTGCAAACTTTGACCGCCACAGAGTCGAGCTTTTCAGTTCAATCAGCTGCATTTCGATGTCCAGACAGTTAAAGCGAGACAAATCCAGCTGCTCATTAAAGCTTTCTGCTTTGATCAGAAAAGAAAACACTGGTCCATACCTCATATACCTATGAGGTATATTTAATACCAACATACCTTTGAAAGGCAAAGCATTTTAATGTGTCCATTTATATGCTCCTCGGTCTTTGCCCTGACAGTAGGACTGAGAGTGGGGCACAGAGGGCAGTGAAAGAGTCTTCTGCAACATGTTGTGCATTCCTGCAATTCTGGCGTGGAGGCAAAATGGAATAGAGAATATTAGTATTTATAAATGTATACATCTCTTTGTGACGAACTTTACAATGTTGATGCAGGTGGAATGAGAGACATGAATAAAGTGCAATATGCAGTAAATGGAACAATGTGCATTGATGTTACAGATAATGAAAAGCAGTGAAGTGAATTTGTTCATAACAAGCAAAAATCAAATACGTTTGAAACTGACCACTAAATGCTAACCAGAGG